TAACCACTCACTCCTACCTGCAGTGGAGTAAATTCATTTATCGGCCACAACATATCCCGAGCCATGAGAATTAGATTGGGTGCTGCAGGATCCTAGTCCCACTGCAGGGCTCCAACCAAAAGTTCAGTTTTTCTCTAGGGTGACCAAGTATCCTTCTGCCACATGCCTGCAAAGTATCTCATACAAGATTTAAGAAGAGTCCTTCGGTATAGGCATCTTTCTTCTCATCCACTCACTTGATATAGGTATCAAGGTATCATTGATGTATTAACAGTAAATCCTATCTCAGACACAGAACTTTACACATCTTTCAAAGTTATTGCAATCTTCAAACCAATTTCCTGCTTGGCCGGCTGCCCAGTTTGGAAGGGTGGCTAGATCTAGTAAGTGTGTGGTCTTAATAACTGACAGTGCTCAAAGGTACAGTATAAGTAACCTTCTTATTTTCAATGCTCCTTTATAGCTTAATCCCTGATTTGTTTCCAAAGCAACTTGATCGTCATAGTTAATTTGCCACACCACTTCTGTATGCTATTTGTGGGTTGAAATTGAATATCTTCCTGAGGGAACATAAACGGACAGGTGCATTTACATTTCAGAAGTTAGAGCACTCTAATTAACTGCAAAACATAGACCATAACACTAATTGTGTGACCCTTCAAACAACTGCTGCAGCTAAATTGGTTTGGAACTGAGAATTTTCTCATATTATTTAAAAATATCATTTATGGACATACTATCATCATCTTCAGCTTTATTAGTCTGGAGCAGATACTTGAATACTTTTGCAAAGCACTGTATACGGGCAAGAGAAACAGAAAAAAAAATTCCCAAGTTATTCCACACTGTAATTCACAGAAATGTTAGAAACCTGGCTTTTCACAACTCTTTGGAACACCCAAAGTAACAACCATACTGACCAGTGTGAAAATAAACACTGAAAATAAACTTTTATTTTGTTTTGAAAACCACTGCTTTCACACTGACAGTCAGACCCATAGGCCTTACCATTACATTTTTTTCACATGATGCAGTACTTTCATGTTCGGAAAACATTAAATTTTCATTCTATGAAAAATGCAAAATAGATCGAACCTGCACTAACAAAGTATACATTGTTTTGTCAATTTTTTTAACAGATCATAATTTAATTTATTGTAGTCATTTTTCTAAAGGGTATACAGAAAGTAACTCACATTTAATTTATAACATGTTTTAACAATGGTTATAAATGACAGAAGTGCATGGGTTGGGTTTATGTCTAATGTCGGTATACATACAAAAGTTGTTTTTTTACTTGTTTAGAAGCCATGGGAAATAAAAATACAAGGGTTGTGGTTGGGCACTTGAGTGGAAATTAATTCGAATTTTTGGAGGGAGGAGGAAAGATGAAGAACGTTAAACTATTTAACTGGTGAAAGTTCCATTTTTACCATTCAAAAGTGATTCTTACGAACATGACACTGGGCATAAATCGCTTTGTGAATTCCTTCATTTTCACATTCCACAAACACACAATGTTGTATAATTTAAGATATATATGTTAATTATATTAACCACTTACTGAGGGTCCTGTATTTTTAAATGCCCCAAGAATTCTTTAAGATATTTGCAAAATCTTCATCTTCAGATATTCCAATACTTAGTCCTTCGTAATAATCTTCAAATTCACAGTATGAAACATCATTGCGATTTGTGCAAGCTTCCCGCAAGGTTTCTACAAACCCAGCCCTCAGCTGATCTTCTGTGGCTTCACCTGGATCAATATAGTGTATTACAGAACAATGAAAATCCTAGTTTATTATTTCCTGAGTAGCTAAAGTAAAATCAAGCACATGTCCAGGTTGCAGAGCCAAAAGCCTCTGCCATTCTGCATTACATAGTTAAATTCTATTATTGTGCATTTTAGCCTTTCCCTCACCCGATTAACCAGACTAGCTTCCCTTAAAGGAGACAGGAAGCAACTCATCTAATTATTTAAGATGGGACCCATCCCACAGCTTGCAGTGTTCATTGCAGGCCTGTACTCTATAACAAAGGGGAAAAAAATAAAATAATTTGAAGACTTACCTTTTATGTTCATAGTTTACATCATGCAGCAGGCCAAAGAAAAAAAAATAAAAAAATAGACAAATAGGATTTGTAAATACTTGTGTGCATATGTTTGGTTTTTAACTGCAGCTAGTCTTACAGTTGCACTCACTTGGTTTCAGAGTCAAAACCACATTTTGAATCAGGGCACAATTTAAAGTCACTGGACACCCCCTGGCCTCTTTGTACAGTGCCCTCTTGTGGACTGGAGAGGAGCTGGTCTCCCCATCCATTTAGAAACACCAGTGTTTAATGCATCCATAACCTACAATATTTGTATGAAACTAGTTTAAAAGAAAATATACAAGACAAAAATACTTTTTTGTGTGTGGGGAAAATGTTTGTTTTTGTATACTGTTTTTGTGTAATGGGACATTGTGCAAAAATGTCTGTAGAAGAGCAAGGTGCCTTTAATGTGGTTGTGGGAGGTCACAGGGTGGAGCTTCCTCAATAAAAGGCAGAGGCTCCTCTCTGCTGTCTTGATCCTCTTGTAGAATTTAAGGAGGAAGGTGTTCTGATTTCTTTCTTATTTTTAAAAATATTGTGTTGTGTTCCTACAAGCAATATCTGTTGCCTGATGCCTTGTAAATAAGGGCTTTTGCAAGCATTCTTTTTGGCTGTGGACTGATTAAATTTGGCTTCACCAAGAACTGAGCCCAGGTGACTAGGTGGAAAATAGAGGAACCTGTGACAGTATTAAGTAATGCTGTTTTTATATGAATACAGCTACAGTATTTCCCAGACAACTGATATTCTTGTAAAATTAGACAAACTAGACACGTGGGCTTCAAAAGTGGGTCACATTCAGCTGAATTCACCCACAAGGCAACAGGTTTGTTCTTAAATATGTAAACTGAAGATGTGTGCTCTATTGCTATCTTCCACTGATATGTATTTT